GAGAAGACAATGTTAGCCTCCCACCCCGAGTTCAGATTGACGGTGACGTGGTCGAGGTGGTCGATGAGTTCATGTATTTGGGCTCACTGGTGACCACCGAAAATGATACCTGCAGAGAAATTTAAAGACGCATTAGACAGGGAATCGTGTTTACTTTGGACTCCGGAGAACACTCCGGGAAAATAAAATTCGCCGCCGCACGAAGTTGACTATCTACAAGACGCTGGATCTACGCTAGATCAGATGGATGACGGAACGTGGAGGAGGCGAATGAATCACGAATTGCACCAGCTGCTGGGAGAACCATCCATGGGCTGGGCACGTCGTAAGTATGCCGCACGACGACCCAGTGAAAATGGTTCGCGAAAGCGCGACCGCTTAATTTTGTCTCCCTGCTGTTTATACCTCGGGCAGTCAGTTAGGGTATGCAGGCTCTCCTTGCAGTACACGCATTTTGGAGGAGCACCGCAAGGGCCCTCTTGATGCTGCTAGCCACACTGATCGCAGCGTGGTTTGTTCGAGCAGTAGTCCGAGGTGTGACCAAGTTGTTGACATTTCGAGCAGTTCATTACCCGAGGTACAAACAGACGTACAGGCAGCCGAACCTTGCCAATAGCGACGTAGTGAGGTAACGCTGAACCCGAAAAGGTCACACGAAACGAGTTTGACAAGGAATAAGATTTTTTGAAGCCTACAAAGGATACTGACTGCATTGGAAGGCAGTCCAATTTCTTCACCTTTGGCAGAGCACGGTTTTTAAAGATTCCGGAGGAATCTGGACCCAAGAAATCATCACTAGTCAAACTCGCTTCGGTGACCACTCCTTCAATTCCTACCTCACTACTGGGTATGTAGACTCGGTATTCCAATAAAAAAAGCTCGCACGCAACAATTTGGTTAGCCTGCTTGCGGTCATCAACGGTAACGCACAGTTTTATTGGTGTTACCTTTGAAAATATCGGTAACGGCCGAAAAATGTGTTGTTAGGTCCTTAGAGATCCTCGGAATGTTCAAAGGTTTTTGTTTGGGCCGGAAAAAAAAAACAACCCATGGGCCTTTCGAGGCCTCTGGGTAAACCTTTAGGCGGGGGAGCGCAGAGATTTTCGGAGGCAATGGTGTGGGGAGTGCAGGTGGACGAGGAGGAGATGGTGGGGGAGAGGGCTGTGGGCGATAAGTTTTCTTGGGATATGCTCCAGTATTTTTGCTGAAGAGCGAGTCAACTGGAACGTCAAGGGTTTCCATTTCCACAACTTCCTCTAGACTTTCGTGTGAGGTGGAATTAAGAGTTTTGTCGTCTGAGATGGAAAGCGACCATCCCCCGCCTTATCATTATCAGTTTTTTGTATTTTTTTACTATTAATTACAGTAATGTCAAATAACATCAAAAATGGAATAAAATATATATATATATAAATACATATGTATATATAAACAAGTTGATATAGTTTCAATCTACTAAAGAATAATACATAAGAAAGAAAAAAAAAATTCAAGAAAAAAACAAAAAAAAAAAAATTACACATATATTTATACTATTTACAAAATTTTGGATCACCCTAAGTGATACGAAAATAAAAGAAAAAAAAAATCAAGAGAAAAAAACACATTATACGTATACTATTTACAAATTTTTGAATCACCTTAATTAAACACCAGCCTAATATTGGACCAGGGAAACAAGGGAGATGCGATACTGTCGAGAACAAAACAAGCGACACGATTTATGCCTATTGCACTGAGGCGGCAGCAGACTGGATAGATATAATTGTTTGATCCAACGGCTGCAGAGTCAATAACCTCGTTGCTGGTGTGCCTCGGTCGACTCGGTAGGCAATTTGACGCTCTTTCGTTGTTGCTATCGATGGGGTGATATACCGATAGTGGTGATGATTTTACTGATGATGTTGCGATGATTCTGGGTTAAAGCTGGACCGTAATGAAAGCACTCGGCATATCATTAACGGCTTCCTCACTCGCGCACTAGTTGTCTTAACACTATGCCAACTAACTTTGGCGAGAAAAAACCCTCGCGTGGGGAAAAACTCGAAAACTCAAATGATAGTGTCGTACAACGAGACCGATGCGACTTGACCGGCTCAGCGTGCGAGACGGAATGATTTGATCAAGCTTAATAACCTCTGATTGTCCTCAACATGTTACTGTTTGAAGGGTCAAAAACGGGTTTGGTGCATCGATAGGTGCCCTGGTGGTCCCTCCCCTTCCCATCATTTGTTGGTTCATATAATAATATAATGTTTTTTTTTATGCATATGCTATCATTTTTCGAAAGTATATACGGTGAATTAACTTTGATGATGAAGTAACTTATCTAACTGATAACCATCTTCTTTGTCTTTTGTTGGCCTTCTTGTAGGTGGTTGACCTAAGGTCTCCTATCCCCCGATGGGACTGCCATCTTAGGTTTTGCTTCCGGGGAAGCGCATTTCTTATTCAACCGCTGGATGCTAGTCAGACGCTTTTTGAATCGCACCTCCGTGGTGGACAGACGTTCGGAGGCGAAGCATTTCCTCTACCGTCGTGCTAGGGTTACCGCGCACCTCCTCACTTTGCTATTGTCGGATTGACAACATTGCCCAGGCTACGCCACCTAGCTGTGTCCATGTTTCAGCTGGTAGTCGTTTGTAATCATATGACTCCTGGAGACGTGAGGTAGGGACTTGTGAGGACCGGAGCTAGGAATTACTCTCCTTTCAGGTTGTCAACTCACCATTTTGTAGCCCAGGCTATACTGCACGCTAAGATGCACATACCTTAAAGTCGGTAAAGAATACCTAGATATCGGTAAAAATCACCCATAATCGAAGAAAGTGCACATACCTAAATTATCGGTAATCTTGGATTACCAATAATTAACGTTAAAAATATCCAAGTTAATAGTAAAAATAGCCTATTTAAAGTAAAAAGTAACGATTTTTACCGATAATTTTAGGTAATTGTTGCTAAGAGTGTGGGTTTAATCGATCTAAGTGTACAGCCCGACCGCTTCGTAACATTCTCATGCTGAGACTGCGTTGCACGAACAACGAGTGTTCAAATGTGACTTCCACCCAACGAGGCCGTGTATTCTGATTTACACTGGGCGGGGGGTCACGTGCTGTCAAAGCAGCCTGCTGATCATTCTTGTATGAAATTGGTTCCAAACGTAAACAAACCCTGTAGGTTTCTTATGGCTTGTTTACGTTTGGAACCAGTTATGCGAGGTAGGCGACGATTGTTCGTCTTTGACAGACAACTCCCCCCCTCCCCCTTGGATTTACATCGTAAGTGACGACTTGAGTGTGAAACAATCGATAGAACTATTTCCGCACATCGACGGTACGTGAGCAAATCAGCGATCATCTCTTTTGCCAGTGGGGGCGGGGGGAGATACCCCTCACCATTCCTTCCCAACATGGGAGTTTGGTAAAGGAGATGATAGCCCGATTGCCTTACTCAAAATTGACCTTTGCTCACTTTTTACTGTCTAAATACAATTTTCACACTGCTGTACCCTAGCGGAACTATCACCTTTATACTTTCATCTTCTCATCTATCATATAAAATGAACACTTTAAGCACAGACAAACATTCATAAATCATTGAATATTTTTAAATGTAAAACATCGTCGCTAAAACACTACCGCCATCTGTTGAGTACCTTGTGGTGAGTAGTACGCTGAACAGATGGCGGTATTGTGGAAACGTCAAACGCAAGGGAATTGACTATGCGCGCCACAGGTTGCGGTACTACCAACTACGATACTTTTAAATTGACCGTTAAATGATTGTTCGATGAACAACTTGCGAGTGTTATGTCGAGTCTGATATTTGTCGATAAGCATCTCCAACTATGTAAATCGTTAACTTCACGCATGGAGTAAAACAAACATAATTAGTTAAGGTATTGAAATTCTATTGTTGCACACAAGAAGGATTATTCAGTAATTCTTTTAGATAATTAAACGTAACTATTTGGTGTACTTAAGATATGAAACGTTGCATACCTTTCATATCCCTATAGACAATAATCTAGGACCAAGAGTGAAAATGTGATCCAATTGTTGAACATCAATGTTCTTCCATTACATTTTGCATGGTTGTAAATGTAAATTTTGCTTGGTTGATAGATGTATTGCAATTCATCGATTGATAAAATATTGACCTTCATCTTCTTGCACAGATTTAATAATTCTATTGCATTTTGAGCCAGTAATAGCCTTTTTGACAACTGAGGATTATTAGCTGAAAAATTAATAAATCGCCTGAAATCATATGCACAATGTCGAAAATACTTAGAACATGTTTTATCACAATATTTCTTATGCTGAATATCAAAAACACATGTTTAATCATTCAACAACTCATCACTGATTGACATGTCACCATGATTGGTAAAATTTATGGTCATAGATAAATGCTGCATAGTAAACAATGTGAAGTGTGCATCAATTGGGTGGTGCGCAACAAATGGCAAATTACTCTATATTGCAACAAAGCAGACACACGCTAACTTTAAAGCACCCACTAATGGGTAAAAAAGACCCATTTTGAAGAAAAGTGTCTTAACTCATTGAGGGGTATTTTTTTTACTAATTAATGAGTAACTGTTACTGCAGCTTAATTGATTACAACTCAAACTTTATTGCTCGAACCATGCAAAAAGTCTCACAAAAGAGCATTTTTCTGTCAAATCTTCTTGATGTCGTCGGAGTACTGCTTTCTTACTTTCGTAAGAAATAAAAGCATAATTACACATTACTTAATCATATTTCAAAGTATTTTGCTAACAATAATGAACAACTTGATAAAACTGGATGTATTCTCAAAAACATGAAGATTTGCAAGCTTTATCTGCTTGACTGGATGCGTTCCGTTTAAACTGAAACAATGGCCTCGCTGGCTCCAAGTGATGATGCAATCTTCCATATCCTGATATATTGTATGATGAACGCAAGAGATAACATAATTGTATTAATGTAATTTACATATCCCATTTTTAGAAATAACTACGCTAACTACTCTGACGTAGGAGAACTTTCCAAACACCACGCCGTAAGTTTATCGTTATCAGATATTCTTCCACTGCATCACAAAACATACGATAAGAATCGAGCCCCGAAGCTGCTCGGTCAACCAACTGTAGTGTATTTTCACGTTACAGTCCTCTCTATAGATTCTATCAACGAAGAATCAATGGTAAACTGTTTTCACCACACTTGTTTGATATCTTCTAATGGAAATGTGATTGTTTGCAGACGTACGTAGCGGACATCTTTTTGGCACAAAGCTGGCGTGATCCTCGGCTACGATTGCCGGAAAACATGAGTGAGGAGTATCGGATATTGGACGTCGATTGGCTGCACAACATCTGGCGACCGGATTGTTTCTTTAAGAATGCCAAGAAGGTCACCTTTCACGAAATGAGCATACCGAATCACTATCTGTGGTTGTACCACGATAAAACGCTACTATACATGTCCAAATTGACACTGGTGTTGTCGTGTGCGATGAAGTTTGAATCTTATCCACACGATACGCAAGTATGCTCAATGATGATCGAAAGTTGTAAGTATGATGAGGTTGTGGGTTGCACTATGTCGTTGATTGTCGGAGACTGGTTTGCTTAAATAGTTTCTTTAATTTTTTTTATAACTGTTAGTATTGTCGAAACTGTACATTTTGTAACTAGGATCTGAAAGTATCGATGTATGTCAATTTTGCACTGGTAAGATGGATGATTTTCTTGGTCTTACGATTATTTAAATTTCATTTGAAATTTACCAGGTGAGTTATTATCAACTTTATTTTTTTACACGGTGAGTACCATATAGCACTGAAATATGGCCATTTAGTACACAAATCCGGACACTTTTACATTTTCAATGCCTACCAGGCTCAACATAGCGTGCAAGTTTTATGATTGTTTGTTAGTTGAGGTGGGCACTAAACCTGCTAAATCATACTTCCGGAAATCATTAGGTTTTCTAATGTAAATAATTTCAGATTAAAACAAATGTTTGTACAGTTGTGCATTATATATTTGGCATTTACCCAGTGATAAAATTTAATTGATTTAAGTTTTGTTAAGTTCATCATCATAAAGTGTGATTTAGCGGTTAAATCGCTAAGAAAATCAATGAAGAGATCGATCAACAATGATAGGCCCTTCCTCGTGTTACGTGAGATTTCCGAAAGTATGATTTAGCGGTTAGCGCTTTATGTGCCAACCTCTGAGTATGGTTCAAAATCATTACTCATATATATATTATTGCATAGTAGACGTAATATTGAAAACAAACAAAAAAAAAATGTCCGGATTAACGAACCTACCGATATTCGGTGTATTGCGGTGATATGTTTAAACATTAGGTCTGTTCCCGTACTTGCTATTCTGTAAGATTCTACACAGCAAAAAGCAAAAGCATATTAACGTACTGACTATACCATATTATTTTCATACAGCAACTTACAGAAAGCTTCAGCAACCTACAGCAATAAAGCAAGTACGGGAACAGACCTATTAATTGTCATATCTTTTAATGTTCTGGAACCTCGAAAGGACTTTATGGAAGCCTTAGCATGAGACTTCAAGAGCACAAATGTCAGTTCCCACAAAACACACCAACATGAAATTGCTACTCCTTGATTGCTGCGCTACAACAAACATATAGTAGCAATTTCATTATTGTATGTTTTGTGGAAGCTGACATTTGTACTTTTGAAGTTCCACACTAAGGCTTCCTTAGAGTATCACCTTAACGGAATCCATTGTGAACAGTTTTTAGACTCAAAAAGCTCTTCATAAATTATTTCCATTTGTTTTATCTTATTTCAGGAATGAAAATTTCTCCAACGAAAGAGGAGAAGGAACTCACAAGTGAGTAAGAGGAACTCACTCTCTGAGCTAGTTTCGTTTTCAGTGTAAAAATTGCATGCAACCTGGTGTAGTTTAAAACTTGCATGCAATCTGGTGTACTAGCGCCGACGAGCTTTATGGTGAATATTATTTCTCGTACTTGAAATTACCCATTGAAGAAAAAGTTAGAGTCTCGCGCGCTTATTACGGATTGAGGACTGAATTTAACATATGATAAAAAAAAATGAACTTTTAACCTTGTTTGGATGATGCTTCGAGTAAGTAGTTAGTTTTCTAGCCAAATGTCGGTAGCTCGTGAACATTCCTGACATTGCTGAAAATTATGATAGCATCAGATTGCGGGGTTGCTGGTGTAATAGGATGCTTTGTTGATTATTCATGGACTCTTCTTCGTTGGGCATGCTTGTGAATATTTCTGGATCAACAATAGAAAAGGACCCATCAGCATTTGTAAACAAACAGTTCAAAAGCCCTTTACTCACAAAGCGAAGGCCACCCACGTAAACCAACACCATCATCGGATAGGGGAAACTTCTATCTACACGATGATGGTGTTGTTTTGTGTGGGCGGCCTTCGATTTGTGAGGAATGGGCTTTGGAACGGTTTGTTTACAAATGCTGGTGGGCCCTTTTCTATTATTGATCCAGATTTGAGGTGGACAAAGAGGTGAACAATGAAATGAACGCAAAAACTTTTTCACATTGATATCGCTGTGAAGCAACTGACAAAAATGTTCAGGGAATTTATATCTGTAACTGTAACAAGTTCGTTTTTGCTTGCTAATCTGGTTAAGATGTCATACTCAATTATTTAAATCATTCAACTAAAAATTTTGTAGGGGTAAGAGGTGAGGTGAGACCATAATCATCATCATCATCCACGATTAAAATTTTTTTTTAAAGAAAAGCTGCTTAACACATAAAGAGTATGGATCACCCATAAATAAGTAACTGCAGCTCATTTATGAGAAACAACATCTCGTAAAATGGGTAAAATTTTACTAATTTAAATAGTTAAGCCACTTCTTTTTGTAATGGGTAAACATTTACTCGTTAATAGGATGCTGCACGCTGACGTCACGAATGAACGCTATGAACCCGCATTCATCAGTTTGACATCCAGTGGTGGTTTGTTAACATTTGCTTGTTAGTCGATTCAAGTGGATTTGAGGTTTTAAATGAAAAGAATTAAAAGATATGATATCCGAAAAATATTCTTCTCCTAAAAATCTAAAAAAATGCATACCATAATTAAAAAAAAAGTCCATTTTTTTTTTCGAAAGTCCATGTAAGCAAACCATTGCCAGATGTCAAAAAGTGAGGTTAACCCGACGGTGCAGCTCCCTATGGGTGCATCCAAGTTAGAGTGTACATGATTCAAGTAGTGATACGAGGAAGCATTTCTGTACTTGGTAGGAGAAGACGTGGTAAGAACGTCTGACGGGGTAAAGCGAACCCCACACGTATGAATATATTGACGCGAAGGGGAATTATTGACAATAATATTGATGATGTGAATACAGAATTATTGTCAATACCGATGTATTGACGTCAATATAGGATGTATTGACAATATGATTATTGTCAATACCCATGCATTAATTATGTCACGCTAAATCGAGCAAAAATTAAAAATATACCATATTGTGAAAAATGTGTTTTTTTCCTTGATTTGTTTTCCGTCGATCTTGTTTTCCGTGCTGAGCACCAATGCTACCGACGCCAGGGAGGCAGCTCCCACACCTGGACCCTACCTATCGACCCATCAACTCATGAACCGGGGACCAACGGCTTTACTTCCCTTCCGAAGAAAGGCGTGATCAGAGATTGTATGCCTCAGAACATCCCGGCGGCGCTGACTTAGATTGAACCCAGGCCTGCTGTAGTGAGAGGTAATCACGCTTACCACTACACCACCGGCACCGCTATTGTGAAAAATGTCAACCAGTGGTAATACGGACCACTTTTGACGGGGTAAAAGCGTCACCCTTCATTATCGCGTAGTGACTTTGATTGAAACTGAAATTGTGTTTTTCCAGATCAAGTATTAAGTGACGTTCATTTCTCTTAGCTATAACTAAGATGGATTCATCCAACTATGGTGAGATGTGACTATTCGTATTAATTTACTTTTCAACAATAAAATAAATTTAGTTTTGCTACCGGGTGGTATCCGGAACATGTCAGTTGTCAATGTGGTCCGCCATACTCAATTTAAACACCAAGGACAATTTTTTAGAGTTCTCATGTGATTGACTTGTCGCATGATGGATTTCGAGTTAATACGATTTTGACCACTTCCCGGGGGTACCCGGAACATCATATTGATATTGATCATATTTTATAATTCTCATGCGATTTTATTTGTCACAATATAGGTTTGTATCGGTTTTTGATCATTTCTAGACTTATGCTCACCGAACTTGTTGTTACTGGAAAAGTTATTAACGATCTGGTCAAAAATTTCCGAAATAATAGACTAAGATTGAGCCCATTGCTAAAAATCTGCTATTTATCAATTTTATCTAGATGAACGCGGCATTCGGACGGTACTAACAACAATCAATACTAAAATAACGATTTTAAATTGGCTCACTACTTGACTAGCCTATTGGTCCCAAGCAAATCGACTAACGTACCCCATTCTAGTATAAATTCCAGCACTACACTATGTTTGTTTTGATTTGCTATGAAAATTGTAGATTTTTTTTTTTTTATAAAAGTGGAGTTTTTATCGTCTCAAGCAAACCGTAAGGTCCTGCGTAAATGTTTTTGTCAATAATAATATAGTTACTTATAATTTCATGATCCGTCAAAAAAATAAATTAAAATATATATGTATTAGCAGTTTTAAAATGAATTAACAACTGTTATTGAAATAGACGTTGAGAAATCCATCTGGTTTGGCTTAGAATATTCAATATATATTTGCTTTATTGAGCTTAAATTAGTTATGTTATAAAGCAAATTTTCAATATTTATTACATTAGACTCAATATATCAGGTCTGCCCAACCTTTCAAAACTTGATTTTTTTAGATGGCTGTATCTATTTTCGATAAACATGTTGCAAGCTGCATTTTGATTCTTTCTTATTCATGATGGGCTAAGATTCATAATTATGAATAAAATTGGACTAGAATACGGTTTGTTGTTCGATCTGTTCGTTAACTTGTATTAGAACAGTACAGCCGGTGTTTAGGATACTGTTCGAAATGATGAAAAGTGGACTGTATTTTTCGATAGGTAACTGCTTCCCGAATAGATGAAGGGAAATTAAGTTTCTCTTGTGCAAATCTAAACACTTCATTTCAGTTTCTTATGCAACGATACTAAATTGAAGGCAAGAACATATATGTATGTGGTGAGATATGTTGCGAAAATGGCGAAAAAATCCATTGCTTACATGTGTGAATCGAACTCAAACCTTCCAGTACGCTAGACGGGTGCTCTACCACTATGCTACCGTAAACTTGATGCTACCCTCATCAATCTTACGAAGCGGTGCTATGATAGAGACGGTCCAACTCCCCTAGTAAGCGGGATGTGATTCATCATTCTCGCAACATACTCAACCACCACATGTACTCTTGTGTGCCTACCAGTATCAGAGTGAGACTGTTTTAAATCTCCATGGTGAAAGGTTGATCAGACCTTTCCTTGCTGCAACTGGTGGATCCGTTCGGGGTAGGCCTCCCCCTGCACTAACTTCACCAACTGTTGCAAGGCGGCAGTCTTCTCCGCATTAGGT